CACCACCACCACCACCACCACCACCACCACCACCACCACCACCACCACCACCACCATCGAGAAATGACTCACTTTCGGTTTCATTGCGACTGAAGCCTGGGTGTTGACGTTCTTCCAGCCAGGTGACGCATTCGTACAACAGCCCATCGGCTTCAAGTTGCCAACACTACTGATGGACTGCTGATGGTGTGGACACATCGTGACGGACGCACCGGTCACGCCAAGGTTCGAGTCTCCACTGGGCTCGATGCGGGGAAACTCCATCAAGGGAGGGTAGGCATTGCCTCGGATAAACTTCTTGCGCGGGTTGTGATTGCTCGCGGCGCCAACTTGGAGCATCTTCGGCTTGTTCTCGACGATGGTGTTCCTAGAGTTGGCGGGATTGGGCAGTTGGGCGTTGAACACGGTGTCCCCGGAGGGAGTTACTTGCATACAAGTGAGGGGGTGACTGAGGACGTTGTGAGAGGGCGAGGGAGCGGTTTGAAAACCACCGCCACCTTCAAGGAATTTGTGCTTAAGCAACTCATCCGCTGTCATCCTCTCGCCAGGATCCATTTGAAAGCATGCCTGTCATCGTGTAATTGAAGAAAAAGCTTACACAATTACAGCCGAAGACTTCTGAAGAGATGAGAGTGTTATTAACGCGTGATCGTTGAGTGTCACCACTAATGCCACTTGACACCTTACAGAACCCCAGACGCTGTCTACTACATTAATCACACAATTACTTGTCACCTTTAAAGCACTTTTAACTGTGTGTGAAATAGATTTGATGGTAACATGGCCTTGACTATTACGGCACACACAATTTTAACACCTCAGACCGAAGACAAGGCATGTTCTGGCATGTGATCTGGTGGTTATTGCAAGGAAGTGCACTCAGTCCTGTTAAATATCACGTAACCGATTTTGTACCATACGCTACGTATTGCTGTGGCTATAATGCGTTGGTGTTTGGCACTTTAAAACGCCCTCGCTTTAAGTCGATTTTTAAAATTATTGGCGAAATCGCCCGCGAACAAATCTGACCAATAGGATCACCCGTTAGGACTCGAGGCAAGACTTCAAAGACCAGATATTCTTACCCAGATAAGAGATCACATCGATAAATATGTACCGACGGCAGTAAACACCAGTTCTAGCAACCTAGTAACACTTCATCCAGAAATGTCTCCTCGCTAAGACTATATCTATTCACTAGCACTCGTGTTTATGCACACGGATTTTCATATTCATATTCCCTCCATCTTCCCATTGGCTGGACAGTAACCACTCACCCTCAAGAAGTCGAGTTCGAAGGGTTCTATGGGAGGTTGAAGCGAGGCGAATTTCCTCTCCAGGCTTTCCTAAAGGCATTCGAAATCGAAACAAAAGTTTGTTAATAACCAATCACCGAACCTCCTCACGTCGCCTAGCAACGAGTTTCGTCGGGGCAAAAAGCGTCAAGCTAAACAACATGCCTACTCATAAGCAAAAGTATGGGTTCATAAAACGCAAAATTTTACCATTACTAAAAGCAAACAAACAAAATATTGCTTTTGGGGGGTAAAATGGCGTTTCATTGTTGTCAGAGATGTCCTAGAACAATGCCAGAAAGAAACAATTTCACCGAGACGCCACAATGTCCTCAAATGTCACAATAATTTTGCATTAAATGCGCTAGATGTTTTAGAAGTCTTCACAGCATGTCATGTCTTGATCTCGCTAACCCTTTGTGGGAAAAAGAATCACCCACGGTATAACGGGTTAATTTTTTTTTAAATTTTCAGTAGTTTTTTTAATGAAGAATTTACAAGAGAAATGAACTCACCAGCAGGTCAAACTTATAATTTTTGCAGTCAAAATATATCAGATTAGGTCATATTGAGCCAATGAAATGACACGGTTAAAATCAATACCACCGAACACAGCCCACATGGTCATATTTGGCGCAATTTTAAACCAGAATTAAGAGGGCGAGAAGCAATTACATGTTGCAATTTCAGGCGTTGGTCATGCTAATTGGCAGTTAGCTGACACAATGCACAAGACTTTTTTTCTGAGAAGCCTAGGGAAATGGGCGTTCTGTTTTTTCCACTCTCCATGGCAATGCGCCTGCAAGTAACATTCTTCTGTTGTTACCAAAATATCTTACAAACTGCGACAACAACACCACCCACTTCCTGTTCCTGATTATCGTTTCAAACAAAGGAATAAAATGTTTTTTTTTTTGCAATCACAGGCTATTGTGGTGATGCTTCATTTACCTAGTGCTTGTATTTAACCACAAAATGGGCAAAACTGGTTTTATTTACTAACCAGCATATTTTTTCTGGACTTGCAAGCAAGTTTTTAAGTCAGCCAACATTAATCGGTCTGTGGCGCTTTAAATTACTGGAATCTACTGAAATGTCAACAGTAGCGACATCCCAAGCCACATAGTTGCAAGTGGAAGTGACGCGCGTCAGTGCAAGGAAGGATGCCTGTTGAATCGTGATGTGTCGACATGCACTCACCATGATCTTGGGTTCAGGGAGTTGGTGGCCCTTGAAAAAGGCGTTGGTTTCAAAGATTTGCCGATGTCGAGGAAGCAGATCACCTGGAAGAACAGAGGACTGCTTAAATTTAAAAACTGAAGTTGTCAAGTGGGCCAATTTGAATGGCTTGATAGCTTGACTTTAAAACTAATTTGACTTCTTCTTGATTGACTCAGGCAAATGACATTTAAGTAAGAATCCATGATTGCATTTCGAAACGTGCTTACAATCTTAAAAGTGCGGAAATAAAGTGTGTGTGCGAACAAAATTGTTGTTTTAATGTGGCTATGTTTCACTGTGATTTAGCAAGTATGGGCTTTAATTTTCGCGCGTAAACGCAAAGGTGCTTTAAAACGAATGACATGCTGAGTCGAGGCTTTGAAGTCAAAACACTCGTGTCTGAAATATGCCACGATGTTAAAAAGATTAACTTTTAAAACTCTGGGATGTCTACATAACCAACTACTCAATCGGTTACCCTTACAAATCCACCAATCAAACGTCGATTTCGTAAAAATTTAAACAAGTGCCATAATTTTTGCCAAATTTGCAGAGATTTTCTGAATATTTGTGAAAGAGACACAGGTTGCTGAGGCGAGAATTTTGTTGATCTTGTTCTGCAAGATCACCAATTCAGGAATTATTTCTAAGGCTGAAGTGATCGCGAATTCTTTTACTTTCAAGGTGTCCAATCCGAGTGCTTTTTAAATGCAAGAACCCCGAAAACTTGGAGACTTTGGAAAGAAGATAGGTTAAGAGGATTGGCGGGTGGATGGAAGGTGTCAGTTATGGGAGGATCTAGCACATGACCCTACCGAGAGTGTTGATAATCTGGTAGAGCTGGTCCAAGTCGGATCGACCTGGCCACAGCGGCGACCCGGTGAGCATCTCCGCCACGACGCATCCAATGGCCCATACGTCCACCGGTGGACCGTACTGGGTGTCGCCGACGAGCAGTTCAGGAGCTCGGTACCAGCGGGTGGAGACGTAGTCGGTGTACTTGTCGCCTGGACCAGCTGGAAAAAAAGGAGGCACATAGCAGGACATACTATTGATTTGCCTACTGAGCCTACATGTATGTCGCGTGGTGCAGGATCTCGCCTAGCAAATTCTTGCAAGACTTTGGGCATTCACACGCTATAACCCGTGTCTTTGTTTATGCGTTTCTATTAGCAACCAGGCAATAGCAGTTGATCGTTGGCTTTTGAACAGACATAGCATCTGGCTTGCCATTATTAGCATGCGATTTGGGCACATTTGCTAATTTAACTAGATCTTGAATCCGCCAATAGAGAAACGAGGCATAAAATGCTGCCACATGACTATAATTGGTGAAAAATTTATTTAAGATAAACTTACGTGGAGCAACATTTCGCTGAACATTTTTTCTGTAAGAATTTCTACCAAGTTAATTTGTGTAGACCTCGAAATACAGCAAGAAACTAATTTACCTCTGCCATCCAAATAACGTGGTGACACCGCCAATCATGGCTTGGAATTATGCGATTCATTTACAGCTATTTCATTGGTTAATGCAATTCAATGAGCATAGGGTCAAGATCAACCCAAAACTTACTGAGTATCCGTGCGAATCCAAAATCGCACAGTTTGAGCTGTCTGGCCTTGGTAATGAGGATATTTTCAGGCTTCACATCACGATGAATACACTGCAAAAAGGACGGTCAAGACAACTACCAACGAATTTTAATTGAATGCCATTTGCCATTTGAAATTTGAAACAGTAGTTCTCTATCAAAATATAGTAAAACCGCATCGTAGAAGTAGGGTTTTTCTTAAAGTGAACTGTGAAAGTCAGTTTTGTGCTTTGCGCTTTTTTCAAAACTAGGGTTTCTCCGGCGTAATGTGAAATTCAGGCAAAATTCAAATTTAAATACTGAACCGCACCGCCACGTTGGCGTGCTATTTTAAAGCAAATACGCTGAAAAAACATTTTCTACCAGTTGACGTTATTTGTAACTGCGTCTTTGATTTCTTAGTCTTAAATAAGTTTTATACTCTATAGCTCAGTTCTAGGCCTCTGGTGTGACTACAAAAATGCAAAATGCACTTATCGATTGGCTATTCAAATAACCAATCGCATCAATGAAAGTACGGCTGCTAGCCAATTAGAAACTGGGCTGTACTGTGATTGCACAATCTTTTTATCCTGTCCAAGCTTTTCTGTAAACCTTTACCGAGGAAAACTCACGTTATGCAAATGGCAAAAGCTCACGGCCTGGAGCAATTGCCAGGTAAATTCGACCACGTGACTTCGCTTAAGTCTAAAAATAGAAGCGACGATGACAATTCTACGCCACTTGACATCAAATATAATTATTCATATGTTAGACTTACCCTTTTGGATTATGCTCCAGTTCGTTTAGCAGAGTGTGATCAACGTATTGAAAGACCAGATGAAGTCGTTTTTTCCGCTTAAAAACCTCGATTAGGTTTATCAAATTCGGGTGTTTCAGTTGCTGCAAGTTAAAAAATAAAAACGCACGCATTTTGGCAAAGTGTACGAACATTTGACTCCATTTCTCTGCTACTTACGCACACAAGTGGTTTAATAGTACTTCAAAGCTACCATCTTTGCAGTTTCAAGTTAACTTTACTGCACTCTTTGTTAGAGCAATTTGCGACTCCCTAAAACTGCAATTAACCAGCCCGCACTGGTTAAATTCAAGCCTATAATTACGACGCAAACTAAGATTCATGGAAATCTGTTTGTTTTCCATTCCAGCATGGCCTTAAATTAGTGTTTAGAGAATTTTCATGATATTTATGGCAAAACGATTTGCTTGACCTTGCTTTTTATTGTGCTTTAAAAGAATTTGAAAAAAAGGTTGTGAGAGATTTATAAAAGGCTTTTGGAAAGAATAAAAGCACACTCAGCAACGCTTTCACATAAAGTAGACTTTTCTGGTGAATATACCAAGGTTTTGTTTAAATGCAAGCTCTAGTCGAAAATTGCTACCAGTAGTACATCACACTCTTAACAAAGAGAAGGGCAGATGTCCTACACAAGGCAACTAACCTTAAGCGTACGAATTTCGCGCATGGCGACGCGATGAATGACTGGATCTTCCTCGGATTCTGTGAATTTCTTGATGGCCACCACCTCGCCAGTCAGACGATTACGACATTTGAAAACGACACCATAGGCTCCCTCGCCTATTCTGGCGATCTTCTCGTATCTCTCCATATCGTAAAACCAGGGAATCACATCAGCTACTCATTAAGTTTGGATCATCTGTCACTAAACAGCAAACAGGATGCTGTTAGGGGTTCACTTGGTTGATTAATTATGGTCAGAAAACATTAAAATAAATGCACAGTTGATTGTAAGGAACAATTAAGAGATTCGTCTAATCACGGTAATTTATGAAATGAATCGGGTTCATTTGACGGAATTTTTTAGTACATTAACTCATTCAACAACAATCAACGAAATTTTGGTGATAATTCCAAAAACTACGCATATTCCAAATATATTTTCAGAATCTTTGCCTGTACTTGGGCTGGTAAATTAGAAGATGTAACATGGCGTGGGGCTATTTATTCATTATCAAGATACCTAAGATGAAATCATAATGATTTTTTACAACAGAACCAGTATATAAATTTGTGTCAATAAAGGCGAAACAGATTTTTAAAGTGAGTTATTTTAATGCCTCTAACTTGACTAGGCAATTACTTAAAAACGTTTATTTTGCGAAATTATTGAATTCAAAAATACAACAGAAACTACGGAATCTTTCAACAGTTTGACAACGAAGGAGATAATGCAAGGTTTAACGTGCTAAATACTTAATCAGCCTTATTAAACGCTGCAACTTTACAAGCGTTAATGAACAATTAAGGCCAGTTCGGACATTTCTTCAGTTTACTTTAGGCATTTTCGAGTGCAAAATTCCATGTTGATTTGATGAAATGGTAGTTGGACGTTAACTTAAATCATGAAAAATATACTGATATACTAAAAAATGTATTTATGGCTATGTTAGAGCTTTTAAAAGCAAATCATTATGTGCTCGTCAATAAAAGACATTAAAAAAAATAATCAAATGGATTTTAATTTTAACGGAAATGCGAACTAAGCACTGTACATCAATATATCATACCTCATCAATAATATTCAAATTAGAAACATGTTCCATATCAAAAATTAGTATATGAAGATACCCGGAGATCTAATTTCTGGAATTAAAGAGCGTTGTTAGTCATTTCTTAACTTAACATACCTTTGCGATATAAGAATCAAAGCATGTATAAATTTACATTAAACTGATCTTTTTTAACAAAACGAAGCTTCAAAATTCTTAAAGAATGCCTTCAAGATAACAACTAGGCTTTTGAACGCATGTAAATTAGTTTTCATAGCAACGTTTCGTCTAGGTCATTCATTATAAATCCGTGTGATTCAACTGGTAAAAAATTACCAAATGTTAGTCTGGATCTTTACACGCGAAAACTTAAGTTACTTTGATTGAATAGATAATCATTGCATTTGAGACTTTTGTTTAGCTCGAACGTCTTTGTTTTATGTAATAAATGCTTCAAAACCGTAGCTTAAATGTGAATAAATAATAATAGACCATGGAAATAGTTTAATGTCTATTTTTAAGAAGAATAGGCTTACTAATAATTAACTAATTCGTGTCTCTATTGGGTTTTTTGAATATTTAAAATAAAAAAGCAAAGTGGGGGAGAAAATTTGTTTATGAAATGTTGTTGAATTTGGCAGAAACATTGCTGCTTGCTGGATGATCAAAATTATAGTATTTAACTTTAGTAAATTACCTAAAACCTTACTAAATTAGGAAAAGAAAAGTGTTTGAGTTTCAAAGAAGTTATCTAGAATAATCTTGTTCACACAGATCATTGTCTAATGATTTCATTCACATTTTCTGACTCCTTCATTGTCACCGGATTGGTATGTTATCAAGATAATAGGTAAGTGATACTGTAGTCTTTTGGTCAAATATATTTTTACTTTCATTAAATTCTGAATAAATGTGTACTTCTCATGAAGGTATAGGAGACTGGATTTAATTGCTGACGATTCTTTCTCTTACAGCATGAAAGTGGATTATATTTACTTGCACATTTTCTCTAATCACACAATTCCTTTATTGCGTTGCCTCATTTGACAACACTATTTTTAATGTCTTCACGCTGAGTGCTCATATCCCATTTAATATGTTGACTCAAACCACGCTGGGCCACTTCGTGCCCGGCTCGTGTGTTTTATTAATTACCAGAAAAAAATTATAATTTTAAGATAGGTAAAGCGGGAATTAGCGGTACACTTAGGGGCGTTAAATTAGCAGGGTGTACCGGGTGACTGATGGGCTCACTGGGAAAATTTGCTTAATCAGAGATTCGTGCATCAGTTCTAGTTAATTATATTGCTCCATGAAGAAACCCTAGCTTGAAAAATTGCAAAATTTACGATAAAGATGGAGCTAAAAATGCTTTACTTAAAAAATTTGAGCAGCAAAATTAAACTGATGACGTGAATGTCTCCTATAAAGTCAGAATTTTATTTTTACAACGCTGGGCAACTTAATTCCTCAAATTCAACAATGCGATACATTTAACAGTAAAGTGACGCATCTGCGGGTAAAATTTTTGAACTTCCTGTCCGCCTCTCTTACAGAAGCCTCCTTAATGTTTCAATCGAAGGTCGAGTCACACGTTTGGAAAATCATACACTTAAAGGCTTAAGAAAATGAACTTTTTTGAATACTGATTTCACAATGTAATGCGAATGTAAAATATTAATAAGAAATGGTGATTTTTGCAGCATTTGGACATGAACGTATTTTAGGGCAAAATTTTGGCAAGTTTGACTTCCTCCTACGTGCCAAAGACGCAAATGAAGCACAATACACGTGCATCGCCCTTCCTTTGACATGGAATTAACATTTGCGTGACTTAATTACAATTATTTTTATAATTGTAGTTATAATTTTCTTATCACCCGTCTAATCGTACGTTTTACTCCTTATAGATGTGTCGCCTTGACTTTCTTCTGAATGCTAAAAACAAATGTTACAACTAAACTTACGGTCTACTATGTGTTTATAAGTAAGGCTTATTTCCTCAAATAATTATATGATGTCATGGTAAGTTAATTCAACCACCACCACCACCTATAAAACGTTGCGATTTTATTTTTAATTGACTTTTCCAGCAGGAGGGTCTGACTAAGATGAAGGGTTATACACCTTCATTCATGGTTTAGGTTAATCGGTTTTTAATCAGTACTTGCTGCCTGGATACGATGCTGGTCGGACTCGGTGTTGTAGCATCATCATCATCATCATCATCATCGTCGTCGTCGTCGTCGTCGTCGTCTAGGTGACATCTTCAACATGAACTCAAGAATTCATTTGGACCAATGCCAACATCACCGAAGCCTCGTTGGTTGAATTTGAAGGATGTGTTCCACATTACTTGGAACAGACGTCAAGATAACTCTGATGCGGGAGCAGCCGTAGTTTGGATCCGTAGGACACCAACAAAGCGCCAGTGCACGAGCCTATCAGATGAGTCATTCACCCACTCACTCACAGGCGATTAGATGAGACAGTTTTTTCCTTCAACCAATTACCAGGTGCCTAGCAGACTTTTGTCCTCCTTAGGCCCACATTTTCACAAAAAATTGAAATGTACAACCTGAAATTCGACTTTACTTCGCACCACAAGAAGACTAAAGTCTGACTTATTTTCTTAGCTGATTACGTTCACTTGAGATAGGCTTGCAGGTACAGTCCAAGGACGTTTTACTGCGGCCTAGAATGCTCGCCTAATGCCGCAGTCATTCGCATTTGGCGTGTTCACTGCGAGTAATCAGACTGCATCACGAAACCGCGATAATGCGATAGCTAATCTCCATCTCAGGTGGTGAATGACGTGTCGAAGAGTGATTGGTCAGAAATGAGGCTTACTCACGCTCCCAGCAACGGTATTTCTGCGACTGGGATTAAAGGCGTGGTGTGTCAGATCATGTTGATTCTGTCCACTAACCCGTCCGCCGCATTTGCAACTTGTACGTTGTATTGGTAAACACCGTCATTGGTCGGGTAGCAGTGAAACCACACAAAAAATCGTTTCAGACGCGTCCGGCAAATGTGTTTACGCTGATTCACCACGACCACAGGTACATCCCCCGATGGCCCTGGAAGTGGAACACGGTGATTACTCGAATAACACCCTGTCTAGCCGGACACGGGGGTCAGACTTGACCTACTTTGGAGAAATCACACGCACAGCAACGGCGGCACAGGTTAATTGCGATGATTTTCGTTTTTTTTTGTGGGAGAAGGGCGGGAGATTATTCACTCCGGCAGGCTCGCGTTCTGCTAACTGTGGAGAATCGTCTTTGCTGCACAACATCTAAAACTAACGGCCATTGTGTGTTCTAGATCGCAACTAGTCTGCTATAGTCCATTCTTTACGCGCTCAACCATCTGGATTAAGCGATTGCAGAGATTCGTGACCGGGATTGCGTTTCTCAGAATTTAGGCCACCTTCCACCACTGACTATGACCAAATCCATGATTTCGTGAATAGTTATAATCCCCGGATTACCAGTGATTAGGTCGTGGAGAGATTAAATGTTAACAATTCAACGGTATTTCACAGTTTAGTGCAAATTGGGAGCACTTTTAACCTCGACGTAAATGAGTTGCTCCCGTTTTGACAAAACCGGTTAATCTGAACAGCGTTTTCACAGTCTGTGAACTGTGAAAACCATTCGTGTGAATCAAGTCACAAAAGCAGATAAAAAGTGTTCTGTGTATGACAACAAAGTACGAAAATGCATCAGCGTCATTGGCAGAGGGTTGATTGCATTCACTTGGAGTGCTCGAATGTGATTGGTGGGTGGATTCCAAAGGCACCGCATTGCACGAGCATCGTCCACGTGACCAGACAAGAGGTGTGTAGCCGTGTCGAGAGTAACCCGACCAACTCAATACTGAAATCCATGCAAAATGTGTAAATTCGGTCAGTAGAGGATGCGAGGTCGTTCACCATGGCGACGCTAGACCACATGTCGCTCAACAGACACTCCGTCTGTTCCGTTCTCTGAAAAATAATGTCGATGCCGAAATAATCGATTTTGTGGAAGCAGTCAGAATTGTCGTCAAACATTTCTTGTAATGAAAACCGCATTTTTTAAAAAAAATTGGGTTTTTTATCCTAAACCACGGGAACTCATTACTGATAAACAACTAATACGTTTCAAACAACGGTTTTGCGTTTCGTTTGATTTTAAGTATTGAACGACCCAAAACCAATGACCTTCAAACCCAGTGCTCCGATTATCCGATTATTCAGATTTGCCTTGTTCCGATTGATGCCAACGCGTTCACTACACGCGCACACGTGCCAGACACGAAGTTCAGAGCATTTTAGCACTAAAAATTATCAGTAATTTCGGTAATCTTAAAAATTCCACACCGGAAGCTCACGCACTGATGTATTTTGTTCCCTGTTCATTGTTTCTTTGTTTAAACATGGAATCATGATCTAGTTAAGTTAGAAAGGAGGTAAACTAAGCACTTTATCCATAACCGACTATTCTACATGGCTGCTTAGCTAAAATCAGGCACGTTATGTCACTGTATTGATCACTAGCAGTCCAGTAAATCATTTTCGCAGAGTTAAGTAACGTATCTCGGTGAATTCAATCACATTCTGTCACCCCATATCACGCAGTGCACAGGTGTTGCGGTGGTCTCGAACACTTTGTGATTGATTGTGGTGCTTTCTATAAATCATGCAAATCAGCAGCCTGCATCTGTGGTCGTGGCTCATCGTAATTATGCTTCGTCGTAGACGCATAAGATAGGCGACTTTCAGCCAATGAGAAGTGAGTTAGTCATGATCGGGAAATGAGCACGACTAACCAACCTCCGTAGACAATATGGGAAGCGTAAGGCTCAATTGTGTTGCCGAATGAAAGTTCATGTGCAGGAGAGACGGAAGTGGGCAGGTGAGCGTTCAGGACCGAAGAGCATGACCCCAGATCCACGGTCGGTCACAGAAAAGACCAGGTGAGACGATCGCCTTGGAGTTCTCAACACACAACCAGATAATGGTCTTCTACCGTCCACCACGGGGTCGCAAAGTGGCCTCGTTTCACGACTCGACAGGCGAGGGTGATGCGAGGTGCAAGATTGTCTGTTGGGGTCAAACGCACTTAAAAGGGGAGGCGATTTGTGTAGCCAATCAACGTCTGACTTATTAACTCGCGTATAATGACAGTTAATGATCGCACCCAGATGTACCAACACATCTTTGTGCAATACCACAGAAATCAATCAGTTTACCCTCTGGTAACAGTTTATGCATTGCTGGAAGTACGGTCTGAGTGTTGTCTTCATGTTTCACAAAACGATTCCCAACTTATGGCGTCTTCTGGTTTTATTGAGTTCGCATGGCGATCTACTCGACACCATGGCATGTTGGATTTTCATTGATTTGGTAGAAAAATTGCGGTTCTTCATTTTTCATTGGAATCTGACGATGCCACCTCCCTAAAATAGTGGGTATACGGGAGGACTGATTATCGATTTCATGAGGGTTTTCCCAACACTTGGTTCCTCACCGTCTTCCGATTCGCAGTGCATGAACGCCGCCTGTGTCGTCACTTTTTAAGCGATCGATATATTGGTGATTAGAACCTATTGTTATGTCAGGCCTTGATGCATCGTAATGATTTGACAAGTCAGAAATAACTCATTAGCGTGATGGACCACTCGAGTATTGACATAAATATCCTCAATTTAGCCGGATTTAACAGGAGTTATAGGGCTAGATTAGAAGCCACATTTGTGGGTTTCAAACTAGTTTACAAAAATTAGCACCAGTTTTGCAGCGGTTACAACCTCTTGCTGGCAAGCGGCAGACCAAATTTCAAATGTTCACTCGTCTCCCGTCTACTGTGAACTTAGCATAATTCCATGGTGGTCAAATATCCTCATGAAATAGCCAACCTCATCACTGACTTGCTATTTGTGTTAATAAATCAGGCATGCGCAGAAAACACATTATGTCAATAAGGCTCTTCTAGTTTCGTTGTCATTGACACCAGCATTGCAGCATTCAAATTATTGATTTGTCGTGTTTAGTGGTTTTTTGGGTCTGGAGATCCGTCCTACAAGTCGTTCGAATCCCTGAACTGGGTAAAACGATTCCCGATCAATAAGATAGAACTGATGGTGATTCGTGGACAGCGTGGCCAATTTGCATATGTCTTAGCACACACACTGAGTACAAGGAGCATGTCATGTGAGATGATTTGAAAAGTAGTTCGAGACAGGACAGGGGGATCCAATTTCCAGACATACCTCGACAGAATGACCAATTGTAAGTCATCAAGATTCTCATTTCAACGAGACTGGTAAAATCAAACTAAGGGCATGCCACACGTTGCTGGGCAACAACGTCTACAGACACGAGATGTTTATGAGAATAACGACGCTGTTTGAACACTTGAGGTAGCTGCAACAATGCAGAACACACTTTCGAGGTCAGCCTTAGACGGTTGATCCTAATCCAGCAAATCATCTAGGTGGTGTTGGCTCTCGTTAAATCACGTATCAGGTTGGTGCTCAATTCATGTCTGCTACATTCTTTGGCTATTGCCTGTTGTTTTCCAATGCCGCTTCTACACGAGCTACTCCATACATAACGCCAAAGTAGGTTAATTCACCACAAGCAGGTTGCGAGGACGACGTAAGAACGCCATGTTTAGCACTGACTTAACGAAAACCACCAAAACCTCCAGACAGGGTCGCGCCTTCTCAGACTAATTCTGGAGGTGTCTTAAGTCTGGCTGAACCCAAACGCCAACCGAAGTAGATTGAAAAAACTTAACCACCCGCAACCCTGCCCAATACCCTCCTCGAACCCCCACTCATCTAACACCAAGCCAGCGAAAGAACAATGATAGCCCACTGATAGGCGAACACTCGCAAGCGAACTAGATTTCGGAAACTTGATGCCGCAGATTACAATCCCAGGAACAGATAAGTCACAGAAACAAACACTAATAAATCTTATTATCGATAAAAATATCAGCGATTAGACAAACAACGAAATCGCTACGCCAATCAGTACTCTTCACCGTCCTCTGGCAGCTCGTCCGTGCTGTCCACACCAACCTCTTCGTAGTCCTTCTCAAGGGCTGCCATGTCCTCACGAGCCTCCGAGAACTCGCCTTCTTCCATGCCCTCGCCGACGTACCAATGCACGAATGCTCGTTTGGCGTACATCAGGTCAAACTTGTGGTCAAGACGAGCCCACGCCTCAGCAATAGAGGTGGTGTTGCTTAGCATGCAGACAGCGCGCTGCACCTTTGCCAGATCGCCGCCTGGCACCACAGTCGGTGGCTGGTAGTTTATGCCAACCTTGAAGCCGGTCGGACACCAGTCCACGAACTGAATGGAACGTCGCGTCTTGATGGTTGCGATCGCAGCGTTCACGTCCTTCGGCACCACATCGCCCCGATAGAGAAGACAGCACGCCATGTACTTGCCATGACGAGGGTCGCACTTCACCATCTGGTTGTTCGGCTCGAAGCACGAATTGGTGATTTCAGCTACCGTCATCTGCTCGTGGTACGCCTTCTCCGCCGAGATCACGGGCGCGTACGTAGCCAACGGGAAGTGAATACGCGGATAAGGCACCAAGTTCGTCTGAAACTCCGTCAGGTCCACGTTCAACGCGCCATCAAAGCGAAGTGACGCCGTGATTGAGCTCACAACTTGACTAATGAGGCGGTTGAGGTTGGTGTAGGACGGCCTCTCAATGTCCAAGTTGCGCCTATCGTCAAGCAAATTAGACGAATAGCATAAACCAAATTACCTGCAGATGTCGTAAATGGCTTCGTTATCAACCATAAAGGAGCAATCAGAGTGCTCCAGTGTAGTGTGGGTGGTCAGAATCGAGTTGTACGGCTCCACGACCGCCGTGGAGATTTGCGGAGCGGGGTAGATCGAAAACTCTAGCTTAGCCTTCTTTCCATAGTCAACACTCAGTCTCTCCATCAAGAGAGACGTGAAGCCAGATCCAGTGCCGCCACCGAACGAGTGGAACAGCAAAAAGCCTTGCAGACCAGTGCATTGGTCGCTAAGTTTGCGAATGCGATCCAAAACCTGGTCAATCAACTCCTTCCCCACAGTGTAGTGGCCACGTGCGTAGTTATTAGCAGCATCTTCCTTCCCCGTGATTAACTGCTCAGGGTGGAACAATTGGCGGTAGGTGCCAGTTCGCACCTCGTCCACAACAGTTGGCTCGAGGTCGACAAAAATGGCACGAGGAACATGCTTGCCCGCGCCAGTCTCGCTAAAAAAGGTGTTGAATGAATCATCACCTCCGCCGATCGTCTTATCACTCGGCATTTGGCCGTCAGGCTGGATTCCATGTTCCAGGCAATAAAG